TTTTTTGATTGTCAAGTTTAGTTAATTTATAGCTAGTTTTGACAATTTTTGGTTATTTATATTAAATTTGCGGCAGTATATAGCTATTTTTAGCGATTTGTCATTATTTTCATAAAAATTCCCGCAATATATAGCCATTTTCGTTATTTTTTTTTATTAAATTTGTAGTAATTCATGATTATTTTTAACTATTTTTGCTTATTTTTATTAAAATTCTACTAATTTATAGCTGTATTTAACCATTTTGCTTATATTTTACAGAAAATCCCGCAATTTACAGCTATTTTTAACGCTTTTTCAGTATTTTTATTAACATTTTAGCAATCTATAGCTATTTTTAATGATTTTTTGCGTATTTTTATTGAATTTGGAGGGGGGGAGGGGAACTGGGAAACTTGAGCTTAAAACTTACACTCACGATTTTCTTCGAAAATTTACATGAGTTCCACAAAATCCGGGTGATGGGGCTTAAACACTCGGTGATGGAGCTAAGCCCCATCTGGCCCCCCTGGTTACGCCACTACACTTGATGTTTAACACAAAATAAAGAAGTGAAAAATAGAAGAATGTTCATGCCTTTCTTTCGTAGAACAATTAAACAATAGTAGATGAACAAATACACAATAAATTCGAACACAATTATCTTTCCAAGATACGAATGATAATTTGTATCAAAAAAGGTCACAATGTTTCATTGTTTAGACATAACTTTTGAGATTCATATTATTCTTGAAAATCCTCAGAATTAGAAGCAAAGTGTTATTTTATTAAACAAAGTGTATTTCGTACACTCTACTTTTTGGGATAAGTGTACCGCAGCGTGTATTTCAAGAGGAGCAAGTGTTCCGTACATTTCGATTACGCTTGGTACACTTGCTATTAGAAACACTGGTGGTAACACTAGTCTGCCAGAGCAACACTTTTTCTAATAAAATTAATAAAAGAAAGCGTATCAACTATTGTCATTAATTAATGCGATGCGAATAGCAGAAGCATTTATGTAGTCCTGCGCGAGTTTTCTTGCTTTTTTAATGCGATGCGAATAGCAGAAGCGTTTATGTAGTCCTCGGCGAGTTTTCTTTTTAATGCGATGCGAATAGCAGAAGCATTTATGTAGTCCTGCGCGAGTTTTCTTTTTGTTTTTCTTTCTTTCTCGACGTACGCATCAAAGTGGTCATTTTGTGGCACGATTATCATAGCAATGAAGCATCAGAAAATACTCGTTTAAACGCAATAATAAAATATCGAGGTCGAACTGATATCATTCGTTTTCCAATTTTTAACAGAACGTTTAGTTCGTCTACATGAAGCGTCACAAAAACACGATTTTGACTTTTTCAATTTTTGAGATAATTAAAACGAAAAGCAAAAGCTAGGCGCCATTTTTCTTTAACAACTGTTTTACAGCTGACAGTGCAGCTGATAGTAGATAATGAATCATCTAGATAGTATTGTGAGAATCTTAAAACTGTTATTTCGAAATCCTGCTATTCGCATCGCATTTCGTAGGCGAGTGAAACTCGAATACCATCTAGTTTTATTCTCCTTACTTTCTCGACGTACGCATCAAAGTGGTCATTTTATGTCACGATTATCTCAGCAATGGAACATCAGAAAATACTCGTTTAAACGCAAAAACAAAATATCGAGATCGAACTGATATTATTCGTTTTCCAATTTTTAACAGGACGTTTAGTTCGTTTACAGGAAGCGTCACAAAAACACAATTTTGACTTTTCCAATTTTCGAGATAATTAAAACGAAAAGTAAAAGCAAAAGTTAGGCGCCATTTTTTTAACAACTGTTTTCACAGCTGAAATTGCAGCTGATAATAGATAATGAGTCATGTAGATAATATTGTGAAATTCTTAAAATCGTTATTTCGAAATTCTGCTATTCGCATCGCATTTCGTAGTCGAGTACAACTCGAATACCTTCTAGTTTTTTCTTACTTTCTCGACGTACGCATCAAAGTGGTCATTTTGTGTCACGATTCTCTCGGGAATGGAACATCAGAAAATACTCGTTTAAACGCAAGAATAAAATATCGAGATCGAACTGATATTATTCGTTTTCCAATTTTTAACAGAACGTTTAGTTCGTCTACATGAAGCGTGAGAAAAACACAATTTTGAGTTTTTCAAAATTCGAGATAATTAAAACGAAAAACAAAAGCAAAAGTTAGGCGCCATTTTTTTCTAACAACTGTTTTACAGCTGACAGTGCAGCTGATAATAGATAATGAATCATCTAGATAATATTCTGAAATTCTTAAAATCGTTATTTCGAAATTCTGCTATTCGCATCGCATTTCGTAGTCGAGTACAACTCGAATACCTTCTAGTTAATGCGATGCGAATAGCAGAAGCATTTATGTAGTCCTCCGCGAGTTTTCTTGCTTTTTAATGCGATGCGAATAGCAGAAGCATTTATGTAGTCCTCCGCGAGTTTTCTTGCTTTTTTTCTTTCTTTCTCGACGTACGCATCAAAGTGGTCATTTTTTGTCACAACGATCTCAGCAATGGAACATCAGAAACTACTCGTTTAAACGCAATAATAAAATATCGAGATCGAACTAATATCTTTCGTTTTCCGATTTTCAATAGGACGTCTAGTTCGTTTACAGGAAGCGTCACAAAAACACGATTTTGACTTTTTCAAATTTCGAGATAATTAAAACGAAAAGTAAAAGTAAAAGTTAGGCGCCATTTTTTTCTAACAACTGTTTTACAGCTGACAGTGCAGCTGATAATAGATAATGAATCATCTAGATAATATTCTGAAAATTTTAAAATCGTTATTTCGAAACTCTGCTATTCGCATCGCATTTCGTAGTCGAGTACAACTCGAATACCTTCTAGTTATCTATGTGTTTTAATATGCAGATTAGTGAGAGAAATATCTCTAAGAGACGACGTTGTCAATAGAGACAAAATATTGTTTATATCTGAAAAAGTGTATTGTTGTGAAATTTGAAAGTAGATGTTAATTACTTTACTAATTCCAAATGATATCCACGAATCATATCTTCGATTTATTTCTGAACAGAAGGTTTTTAGATTAAAAATAATGAAAATGATATAGTGAAGAAGAGTTTTGCTGATTTTTTAACAGAAACTAGTTAAATAAGAGAAATCAGTCGATAAACAATGTTTTTTAAAGACTAAGATCTTCATTTCTATACGTGATTTTAGATCTATGAATAGTTGGATATCAGTCAAGTGACAATCAATCAAATATTTCTGTTTTTCTTTGAATTGATTTATATAAATGTAATGATCTAACAAGATACCTTAAACAATTTTTGTTTATTGTTCACCACCAGAAGGATTGTATATCTATGTTCAAGAGCATTTTTACCAATTAGATTAATATTTAAAAAAAACAACGTTAGATCAATCATTAGATAATTTAAATATAAATCTAACAGTCAATTTCTAATAGAAGAATTTCAGATATAGCTCAAATAATTATAATATATCCATAGTTAATATATTATCGAACAAAAAAAGGGCTGAAACTTACAGATGTGTCTTTTTTCTAAAATTATTTTTTCTAAATAATAAAAAAAAACACAAATAAAAATCGTTTGTTTTGTTTAAACTATAAAAAAATAATTAGTATTTGATGAATTATGTCAAACAAATTTCATACAATCATTTAAAAACATTTCAGCAAGTATTATTTGTTTTCAAAAAAACTCACAGTAATCAATATCATATTAAATATCTTATTTTTTAGACACTCTTATTACTATGTGTTCAACAACTATGACAACAAATCGAAGAGATACACAGTCGTCATATACAAGCATGATGACTACGATAGAAGAAAATACTTCTATCTTTAATATTAATGTACAATACTTCATAAAAAATCTGAGTCTTGTTCAAGTTCATAGTTTTGCTAAATGTTGTGCATAGTATCAATCTAATAGTAGTTGTGTTTCGCATACATGGGTTATACCTACTGGCGGAAGATCCACATCATTTTGTTATTTAAAAGACTTTATTCCATCTCCTTCTAATCAGCCATCAGTGCACATTACTAAAAAAATTCGTAACTTAAATAATGGGTAGATTAGATTAAATGTATACGCTTTACATGAGACTATTTTATTTGGTTAATAAAACGTATCAATTGATTGTAATTTGAAATGCGAAGTGTGATCATTTGATCTGACTCATCCGTTAATATATATATTGTATTGTTTTTTTCTCATTTTTTTATTTTATCGAATACTTTTCGAAAAAATTGTTTTGTTAATGAATAAAGAAACAAACAAATAAATTCAAAAATGACAATAAAAACTAATCTTTTCTGTTTTTATTACGGTACAACGATAGCTGAATACTTTTATGAAAGTTTTCAGCTATGAATGAATTACATCGTCGGTAAATGTTAATATTACCTTTCGTTTTAGTTTTTCTTTTTCATCTGTGTCTAAAGCTATGAAATCTGATCTTTTATTCAATCCTACATATTCTCATCTACCAAAATGGTGAGGTATTTGATTTTGAATAACTAAAATACTTTTGAAGATTAATTCTCAATAATAAATAATCAATAGTCATTTATTCGAATTTGATAATATAATATACTTTATTAATCATTATTTTTTATTTTTGAAAGATTTTTCAGGTGAAAACCTTGATGACATACAATATATTTTTTTGTTTACCTCCTCATATATATGTTCCTGACAGTTGATCAATAAGCATTGCTTTTAATATTAATCTAAACGTTACAATAAGAAAAATAACGCATAGTAATAAGCTTGCGAATAGATAGTTGATTCATAGATGTGAAACGATGCGTGAAACGAAAAAAAACCAATCTCGTCGAAAACAAAAACCAAGTCAATACAAACTATTGTGATTATAACGCTTACAATTAACAATAAGTAGTTAAGTTTTTACAATTCTGAAACTATAAACTATGCCTATTCGAACATATCTATTCAATCAAATAACTAATACAATATGTCGACTTAATGGTATCGAACCATCACATCGAATGCCACACAAAGAAGAATTAAGTATGCCGTTTTCTGATCATGTTTTATACAGTCCAAGTCAACTTCCACCTAAAGTTGACCTACGGCCTTTTCTGACACCTGTTGAAGATCAATCAAGAATTGGTAGTTGGTAAAAAGAAATATTTTGACAACAAACTATTTTCTTATTTCATTTGTATTCTCTCTTTTTTTTTTTATTTAGCACAGCAAATTCACTTGCAGGTACTAAAAATATATATTTATTAATAAAAATTTCTTATTTATTTTATTTATAGGAGCTTATGAATATTTAATAAAGAAAGCTCATGGTACTGATATTGATGTGAGTCGCTTATTTATTTACTATAATGGACGTACTAAGAAAACACATTTACCTGTTGTAACTGACTCAGGTTGTTCAATGACAAATGCTATTGAAGCATTAGAAGAATTTGGTACATGTCTCGAATCAGCTTGGCCCTATGATATAACACGTGTTAATGCACGTCCTAATATTCAAGCTTTTACAAAAGGACACTCACATAAGGTACACCAAGCACTGCACGTTAAAATTGATTTAAATGAAATGAAATCATGTCTTGCACAAGGTTTTCCATTTGCATTTGGTTTACGACTTTATTCATCATTTGATAAAGCAGCTACAACTGGTGCTGTACCAATGCCGGATGCAGCAGAACAAGGTCGAACTGAACATGGCAGGTCTGATTATAATTCCTTAAAAACCAAAAATCAATAATAATAAGTCGATTTTTTTAAATTATAGACATGCCTTATTAGCTGTTGGTTATAGTGATGAATCAAATGCATTTATTGTTCGAAATTCATGGGGAGAAAAATGGGTAAATATATATATATATATATATGTTTGTTCTTATATATTATTTTTATTTATTTCCTTTGTTTTAGGGTGATAAAGGATATTGTTATATTCCTTATGATTATATAGTTAATCCAAAATTATGTTTTGATGTATGGGTTATTCGTCAATTCGATAATGATGATATGGGCAATGAACATTGGCATGTTACCGATACTATGCATTATATATTATCAGTAGCACATCATGGTAGTCATGATCATATTGAAGTTAAAGAAATTGATGAACATGATGAACACCATCATCATGCATAAAATGAAAATATACGAGTACATTTATATTAGTATAGCAGAAAATTAACTGATTAGTTTTTTATGGTATAATGGAATTGATTAATTGATATTAAATAAAATAACTTTACTGATAATCAGAAATGATTCTTTTGAATTTATAAAAATATAAGAAAATAGAATATTGATGTAAATGAAAATAAAATTTTATGATTTATTTCTTAGCTTTAGTTTAGTATCAATATATTGAAAATAGGATACTTTAGATGAATGATAGTTCTTACATGAAGATGATCCATAATGTTTAGATTTCAGTGCAAGATCTAAAGTATTTCGTTGTTTATAATTTCATATTGATTATCAGTAATTACATACAGTTATTCTAACCTATTATAATTATAGTTACAAATAAAAAAAAATCATGAGGGTCTAAATGAAGAAATGATTTATTCACATCCTTATCTAAATTCATATTCTTTCTTAAAGACAAATTCTGAATTTATTGTTCTTTCCAAGAAATAATATTTTCTCTATTATTATAATATTCAATATTAGTTTCTTCTATAATGAATCAAGCTTTTTTGTAACATTAATGACTACAGGAAGAGGAGTATAAGGTACATCACTGTCGAATAGAATTTTACATGGATCATCAAATTCCAATAATGCCATAAGTTGAGGAATAGTCGATGATAAAGCTGTATCATAGTAGAATGAGCGAAAATCAGTTAAAATTTGATGTGGCTGTCGTGAACATTGAAGACATGGGACACGTGTTCCAGTAAGAACAATATCAGATGCTGTTCGAGTGTTTCTTGAGGATAATCAATTAATGATTGTGGTAAATAACGATTGACCATAGGTATTGATGCTTCACTTGGATGAATAAAAACGCCAGATTTCAATTCATTTAATTTAGTTCATATTGATCAAAATAATGGATGACCGAGATACAATATATATCATTCGCCAATATTCCGTGACAGAAGAAATATATTTTTTAGTTCTATTATCTATCTTTCAAATAGTCAGTTTAAAAAGATATATTTATGATTAATTTTAACGTTTATTCAAAATAAATATATAAATTAAAGAAAATCAATTTCGCCACCATAAATACAATTTTCGATTAATAAGTTTTAGAATATAATCACGAAGAAGTCGTTTTGATTCAATTAAATTTTTCAATGTTATCATCAGATCATTACGTTGTTTTGTAATACACAATGAAGATAAATAGCGAGTATTGTTATTAGGTTTTGACAATAAAAAATGAGCTATAGGTTCTAAATCTTGTTTGAATAAGTTAATAGTAAGATTTTCCATTCGACGAAAAACAGCAGTTAATAATTGAATTTTTTCTAATGTGATTTCTTTATTAATTGTTACTTTTGTTATCATATTTGTTTCGGATACTAATTGAGTTAATCGATTTTGTTGAATTAAATCCGGGTTATTTCGATAAAGTAGTAGTGAGTCAAGTTTCAATGTATGGGCATTTGATGTAAATTGTAAAAGTTGAATTAATTTTTCAAAAGAAAAACGATGACATTTTATGGATAATCTAGTAATTTTTTGCAATGGAAAAAGGTGATTTAAATCAACTACATTGAAATCACGTGGTACTTCAAAATATTTACAAAATGTAAGTTTCGTTGCATTTGTAAGTTTATCAATAGATTGTTCTATCATATTTGTAGTATGAATACAAATATGATCAGCTGGATCTTCATTTATATCAAAACGAGTTGACCAGATGTTTTCAGCC